CACTATACAGAGTCAACCAGAAGTACTGAATCTTAGTATAAAATGAACCAGACTTGTATCTTTCATCTTGCCAAAGTCTATTTGCAAGAAACAGACTATACTATTACTGAAGCATTAGAACCTTAAGTAAATGACCAAATCAATCAACCATGAACCTATGAAGAAATGGATCTTATTCTATAAGCTGAACAAGCTGTCTTTAATAAAGAAAAAGAGCAACTTCTTTAACTGATCTTGGCTAAGTCTTTTGACATTAGCTATCCAGAATTTGACTATCAGCTTGCTATTGCTAACCTTTGTCAACAGTTTAGTGCTTCTATTGACTTTTGTAAAAAATACTTACATATTAAGCACCAAGATGAGTTAGATGCCTATCAAGAATACTGCCAGAACTGTGCTCCACCATCAGTTTTTATTTATGAACTTCCTATATCAGAACCAGTAGACCTTTGCCTAGCTCTACTAATGCAACTCTACCAGAACCAGATCTCTTGCAACCACAAATTGCACAACTACAACAAGTTGAAACTCAGAACCAACTTATTTTACAGCTCCAATATAAGGTAGAAAAGTTAGAAAGATTCATTTATATTCTCTTACAAGTATTTCAACAGAATGTTCAGACCACCCAACAATAATATACTTTTCTTGCTCAGAAATAAGAAAAGTCAAAATTTTAAATCATTATAGGTAGGATAAAACACTACCTGTTGAACTAGACAATGTGCATCAAGTTTTTATAATAGACACTATAATCTCTTATAAAGAATATAATATTAGTTCAGAACTATTTAAATTGAACATTGGACCTCTAAATACTAAACAAGTCAAACAATTTAGCTAGCTGCTAATAGAGTTCTTAGATCTTTTTGCATAAAATGCAACAGAATTAAGATGCACTGATCTTGTAACTCATCAAATCTATACAGAAGAAGGACCTTCTATTTGATCTAACCATATTTTTCTCCTCTTATGAAACAGACATTTATTAAAAAAGAAATCTAACAGATGCTTAATAGTAGACTTATATGACTCTCTTCTAGTTTCTGGATCTTATCAATAGTATTAATTTGAAAGAAAAATGGAAAATTATGATTCTGTATTGATTATCATAAACTTAATAGTATTACTAAGAAAAATGACTATTCCTTATCTCGCATTAATAAAATCCTAATACTCTAAAAGGATCCAAGTAGTTTTCTACACTTAACCTTGCAAGTAGATATTGGCAAGTTGCTATGCATCTTACAGATAGAGAAAAGACTGCTTTTGTAACTCAATATGGTATTTATAAGTTTAATATAATGCCTTTTAAACTATATAATACACCTGCAACCTTTCAACAATTAATAGATAGAGTATACCAAGACATTGTATGGAAATTTGTAGTAGTCTACCTTGATAATACTATAGTATACTTCAAGATCTTCAATGAATATTTAGAATATTTATAACAAACTTTTATTAGAATTAGAAAAGTTAGTTTATAATTAAATTTAGAAAAGTGTAATTTTTGAATGCAAAGTTTACTATTCTTAGGAGTCATCTAAAGCGGAGATAAATCACATGTGCCTGCTGTGATTGGTCAAAAAACAAGTATGATGATTGGCCAAAAATTTCATATAACAAAATAAAAAAAATGTAAATTCAATATAATACAAAATATTTATTTCAATTAAATAATGCACAAATATAATATAATAAAAAAATTATTCTTCAGAATTAAGAAAATAGACACTTTGTGCTGTGTTATTAGAAGATATTCTGAAAAAATATATTATAATTTTCTATGAAAACATAACTAAACTTGTTACTAATTATTTCTATCACTTTTTTACCCTTTTCAAATTTTACTTTTAAATTTTCAGTACTTTGAGAATAAACTATAAGAAAAAAATAATACAAATAAAATAAAATAAAATAAAATAATAAAAAAATACATTTATTTTAAAACACACCAATGGTGGTTTTGCACCTATTATTATGTTTTTTAAAATTTTCAAAGTTTTTATGTTTTGTATATAAAATTTTTGACACCAATTTTTTTATGTTAAAGTTAATACTTAAGGTTAGAATTAGGGTTTGAGAAGGGTTTTTTGAGGCGTAGAACATTTTTACTTAAAACATCTCATACTGATTAATTAGCCAGTTTTTGAAATAGTCTATGCATAGGTGTAAAACACCATAGATGCATTTTAGTAAAGGTCAAAAAATAAACAAATAAAAAAAATAAATAAATATTCATCATTCAATTATAACAAGACTATTAATAAAAAAATCTTTATATCTACAAATCTAAGCAAATAAATAAAATTAAATACTTAGTGGCTCTCTATATAATAGACATTGCTTAATACAGAAGATTATAATGGAACCAGATTACGATTTACTATGATATCTGATATATTATAAGATTTCGATATTATGAAGCTTTTGATATAACGGAGCAAAGAATTAAAACTATAGCCTCCATTATATCGAAAGCTACTGTGTAATAAGTTATTTTGAAAAGTCAAAGAAGCTAGCAGGACATTCATGCAAAACATGTCTGCTAATGATTTTTTTTTCTGCTTTAAGATTATTAAAATAAATATTCAAAAGTTAGTGTAATGTTATTGCAAAATGCATTTGTTAATGCTTTTTCCTCAAAGATTATTTCAACTAAAAATCAAAATCAGCATGATGTTCTTGTAAAGTGCATCTACTAAAATCTTTTACAAAAAGTAAGATCAGTATTAGTCTGAATGTTTTAAAATTATAATACTTTTTCTTTTCCTGTTCCAAGATTTTTAAAATAAAAAGTTAAAAAAGTTAGCTTGGTGTTATTGCAAAATGCATCTTCTAATGCTTCTTTCTTTAATTCAAGATTATTCCAACTACAAATCAAAGAATGAGTATGTTCTTGCAAAATGCATCTGCTAATGCTTTTTTCTTCTCTTTTTCCAAGATTATTACATCAAAAAAGCTAATGTAGTGTTATTGTAAATGCATTTGATAATGCTTCTCACTCTAGTTCAAGATTATTCTAACTAAAAAGTCAGAATGGTGTTCTTGTAAAGTGCATCCATTATAATCTTTTACAGAAAGCAAAGTTAGTATTAGCCTTATAAGTGTTTGAAAATTATAATGCATTTTCTCAAGATTTTTAAAATAAAGATTCAAAAATACCAACATAGTGTTATTGCAAAATGCACCTTCTAATGCTTCTTCCTCTAATTCAAGATTATTTCAACTACAAATCAAAGAATAAACATGATGTTCTTGCAAAATGCATCTGCTAATGCTTTTTTTCTCTTCTATTCCAGGATTATTAATAAAAAAAGTTAGAATAGTATTATTCCAAAGTGCATCTGATAATGCTTTTCCCTCTAATTTAAACATAGTGTTCTTGTCTGCTAATGCTTTTTTTTTCTCTTTCTAAGATTATTAAAAAGCTAGCATGAAGTGCATTTGATAATGTTTTTAGGATTATTCCAACTAAAAATCAAAGAAATCAGCATGGTGTTCTTGTAAAGTATATCTTTTACAAAAAGCAAGATCAGTATTAGTCTTATGAGTGTTCTAAAATTATAATGCTTTTTTCTCTTCTTGTTCCAAGATTTTTAAAATAAAAATTCAAAAATGCCAATGTAGTGTTATTGCAAAATGCACCTTCTAATGCTTCTTCTTCTAATCCAAAGTTATTCCAACTACAAATCAAAAAATAAACATAGTACTCTTACAAAATGCATTTGCTAATACTTTTCCTCCTCTTATTCTAAGATTATTAAAATAAAGATTCAAAAAGAAGCTAGCATAGTGTTATTCCAAAGGGCATCTGATAATGCTTCTTCCTCCAACCTAAGATTATTCCAACTACAAATCTAAGAATAAGTTAGTGTTCTTATATTTGCTAATGCTTTTTCCTCCAAAATTATTAAAATAAAGCTAGTGTGATGTTGTCGTAAGGTGCACCTGATAATACTTCTAATCCAAGATTATTTCAACTAAAAATCAAAGAAGTCAGTATGGTGTTCTTGTAAATTGCATCTGCTAGAATCTTTTACAGAAAGCAAAGTTAGTGTTAGTCTTATGAGTGTTTTAAAATTATAATGCTTTTTCTTTTCCTGTTTCAAGACTTTTAAAATAGAGATTCAAAAAAACTAGCATGATGTTATTGTAAAATGCACCTTCTAATCTTTTTCCTTTAATCCAAGATTATTCCAACTGCAAACTAAAGAATGAGTATAGTGTTCTTGCAAAATACTTCTGCTAATGCTTTTTCCTTCTCCTGTTTCAAGATTACAAAAAATATGCATAATGTTCTTGCATCTGCTAATGCTTTTCCTCCTTTGTTTTAAGATTATTAAAATAAAAAGTCAGTGTGATGTTATTGCAAAATACATCTGATAATGCTTCTTCTCACTATAATTCAACTAAAAATCAAAAGAAGTCAACGTGATGTTCTTACCAAATGTGTCTGCTTATGCTTTTCTTCTTTCTAATCTATGTTTATAAAAATCCAGAGAAGTCAGCATGGTGTTTTTGTCAAGTGTGTTAGCAAATGCTTTTTCTCCTCCTGGTTCAAATGCATTTAAATAAAGGTTTAAAATCGACATGGTGTTCTTGTAAATATATTTTTTAAGGCTAGAAAGTTTTTACTAGTCCAGTTTTCAAGTCTATTTAATAATAAGCATGGATTTTGTGCAATTCTTCATTCAATGATACAATTTTAAATTTTTATTTCTTCTATTTTTAACTCATTACATTTAATAAGAAAGAATTTATTAATAGAAAAATTATGCCACCAATTAAACTATCACAAATGAAAGATCTACAATAATATATAAATAAAATTAGTATTATGGTAAAAATTGCTACATATGTACAATAAATTAAATACATTAATTAATAAAATTATTATGCTTACTAAAATTACACAAATAAATTGAATCTAATTGAGTAGTATGATGAATGTTATCAATGGCTTATTTAAATACACAATTAATAAAAGATTGTTACTATACAATAAAAATTTTTACACCTACCAACTGAATCAATATGAATAATAATAAATCTAAAAAATAAAAAAATAAAAGTAAAAATTAAAAAGATAAAATAAAAAATAAAAAAATAAAAAATATTTATAAAATATAAAAAAAAAATATAATATTTATTAAAATTTTATTTAATTTTTTTTATTTATTTACATTTAATTGATTAAATTGCAATATAATTGGATTTAAAGAGGTTTCCAACATAGAAATATAAGTCTCTACCCTTTTAACATCACCCATCTCTTTAACACTCCAGTATCTATTACACATCCTTTCAGTTAATTTGACTACAGCAATCCTTTGATTTTTAGCTCTTTTTTGTTCTTCCATTTGCACATATTTTACATATTTTATAAATGATTTCCGACTCTCATACACCTCAAATCCACTTTCTTCAAACATTTTCTGAAATGCCTTCCATACTTCAGCAGTTAGCAACTTGTTATCATATATATGTTCATAAAAAATATGCTTATATGGTAATAAATATCAATTGCAAAATAAGCAGTAGCAATCAATAGAAGTTAAACCCAAAGTACCTTTCTCATTCTCAAGCCTATTTATTACAGCACAGGCCTTTTTAACAAGGAGATGTTGAAATAAAAGAGGAAACTTATAGATTTGCTCAATAAGACTATTCTTTACATCATACACAGATACCTTTTTAATGTAAAAATCGAAGGCAACACTTTTGGACTTACTTCTTTTCCTATAGTCAATATCAACAATACTATGAACAGTGCTTAAGATAAATAATTTAGAAGGATTAAAAAGAAAAAAAAATCCTACAATAAAAAAAATACATACCAAATAAGCCATATAATGAGAACATTTCTCTTTTTAATTCAGAATGAAAAGATTTTAACAGATTTGTAGATGTAACTTGCAAAAGCAAAAAAGAATATTGGTGGGCCCACAAACCCCATTGCTGTGTATTTTTTACATAGTTTCTTTTAATATAATTTTGTATAGCAGAAATGAAACAGCAACTGATAGCATCTTGAACAAGGCTTTTGCAGCCAAACTTTGTTCATTTATGCATTGCCACAATCATAATGTTTTGGGTTTCTTTTTTATATATTCTTTGCATCTACGTTCTCATAACATGAATGACACAAAGAATAATTTGACACTCTTGTTCACCAGTAGTTATATTAGTGAAGGTTTTTTTGATACTCTTAGCCTTGATGCAACTCTGATCAGAAAGTACATATCGCAGGAGCCAGCGACAGCACTTTTTATGGCTTATCAACAATGTCTCAGCAACTGTATCACTATCTTTACTACTCACAAAAAAGTAAGCACCTATGTTTCAACAACTGTAAGTATCACAGACATAAAGAGTGAACAGGCGCCAATCGTAGCAATTTGTTTTGTGGGTCAAATCTATGAGAGCTAACCATTCATATTTCACAAGTTTCTCAAGTTGCATCAGATGCATGAACACTATACCCTCAGTGGATTAGTAAAAAACATAATAATTTTCAACAATGTATTTTTTTTCTATTAAAAAAGATATGGCTTCTGAGATATCCACTTGTAAATTGAAATTTTCAATTAGATGGGCTTCTATAGGTTCACAACTTTATATTGAATGTTCATTAATTCTTTATGTTTCAGCTCACATACACTCTCACCAAGACCCAACTTGATCATTGCATATTCTTTGACAGCAGCCGTTATTGCTGGTGGGGAATAATTTTTTACTGCCTCCTGTTCAACCAAGCATCTAATGACCTTTAACCATTTTATCCTATTCATCTCTAACAAAAGATGCAAGTGGTTGGAAGAGTTTCTATATCATTTTATTTGAACCACCTTTGAAATAACTAGCCAAGAAACTTCAATTTTTGCAAGACATAGGCTAGCTGGCTGTTTCTTTGTTATTTGGTGCTTTTCATTAGGGATATTTTCCTTTTGTCAGGTGCTTGATTTATGGTGTTTTGTAAAATGCCAAGTAAAAACCTTTCTAACATCACTATTAACATGATTGTATGAACCCCATTGTGTTCAAACATTTGATACCAATGGCTACCAGTTGTTATTAAAGTCTTCAATTTGAATTTCCAAAAGACTGTTTATATTAAAGAGATAATTGCACTTTTCATCCAGTATGAGTAATACTGATGTCAAAACTGAAGAGGTAGCTAAAGACATAACATCTGCAAGAGCAGAAAGCATAGTACTCAAGGAAGTAGAGAATGTATTACCCAGAGAAGCAGAGGACATAGTACTCAAAAAAGCAGAAGACATTGTACTCAAGAAAGCAGAAGTTATAACACCTGAGGAAGCAGCTGACATGACACTCAAGAGAGAAGCAGATACAGAAGACATAACCAAAAGATAAAATATTTATGCTTTTTTTTTTGTTTGTTTTTTTCTGTTCTTTTTTTTTCTTTTGTAAAGCATTCTTGACCTAACAGAGTTCAGTTTTATAGAAAAGAATATCTATGCTACAATGTTTATTATAAGTCCTTGTTTTTTTTAAAAAAAAAATATCTATCATATATTATTTACAGGTCAAACTGCCAGGTCACTTAAAGTTTATATTACTTACGAACTAGTTTAAAGGTCAAGTTACAAAAAAAAAGATCCTACAATAAAAATGAAAAAAATAAAAACACTTATAATAATAAATATTTTATTATAATTATAAGAAAAAAAAAAGAAAAATAAAGCTTTATTCAAAGATTAAAAAAATGGATGTGACTAGTAAAATAAAAAAAAATTATGTAATGATGACAAATTAAACATATACATGCCTTATCCAAAGATCAAAAAAAGAAAAATACTGTTAACCAATTATAACTTTTGTAGTAATCAACCAATTATAGTTATAATTTAGTCATGTGATTTGTTTTCACTTTAGACAATCCCTATTCTTAGAACATATAGTTATCTTGATTGGAATAGCACCTGACTCTTAAAAAATTGAAGCTGTTTAGAAGATCCAACTATCTAATAATGTAACCCAACTATGTTTATTCTTAGGACTAGTAGGTTACTACAGACAGTTCATCCATAACTTCTTTAAAGTAGCAAAGCTCTTAAATCAGCTACTATATAAAGAAACTCTTTATATATAGAATGAACCACAATAGTAAGCTTTCAAAGAATTGAAACAGAGACTGACTACAGCCTTTATATTAAAGTATTCTGACTTTGATAAACTATTTATTTTAGCTACTGATGCCTCTTATCATGGATTCAGAGCTACTCTTAGTCAATTAGATAAAAACAAAAAAAAACATGCTGTAGCCTATGCTAATAAAAGCTTAACCAAAGAAGAAGTCAATTATAGTAACACTAAACTCAAATATGCTACAGTTGTATAAGCTATTAAACATTTTTATAAATATCTTGAAACTGTCAAATTCATTCTAATTACTAATCACTCTGCTCTTAAGTAGTTACAATCTGCTGAACCTAAAGAATGTCTAGAAAGATGGATTCTAAAACTTCAGCTCTATAACTTTGAAATTATTCATAAACTAGGAAGTGTTTACTCTAATGTCGATGCCTTATTTAGACTCCAGACACAAACCTCATACCAAAACCTTCTTTATAAATTGGATCTTTATTATAATTTATATAATTATATAGAATTAGACAAGTTACCTAACTCTTTATTACAGGAACAGACTAAACAAATACAACATCATGCTAGACATTTTATTATTAGAAAAGGACTATTATACAAAAAAAACAAAAAAAACCCTTAATACTCTCTTTGTGTTATCAAATGGAATAAAGTAGAACCTGTTCTATATATGATGCATAATCATTTTATCACAGAACATTTAGAGACAGATGCTATATACTATAAAATAGCTAAATGATATTATTAAGACCAAATATATTAAGATGTACAAGAATATGTTAGAATATGTAAAGAGTGCCAAAAAAGACTAAAAGACAAATGAACTGAACCTCTTTATCTTATTCAAACAGGATGAGCCTTTGAACAAATTAGTATTGACTTAGTAGGACCCTTACCAATTACTAAACCAAATAATTAATATATTATTATTGCTACAGATTATTTAACAAGATGGCTAGAGCCTCTGCTGTACCTAATATGAGAGCAAATACCTTAGCTCAGTTTATTTTTAAAGAAATTATTTGTTATATGGAACACCAAGATTATTCTCTTTGATCAAGAAAGAAATTTTATTAGTGAAACAGTTCATATTCTATTTAAAAGTTTCTTATTAAACATAAGTTCTCTTTAGTATATTATCTACAGACAAATGGAATAATTGAATGTCTTAATTGAACCTTATGTGAATTACTTGCTAAAGTAAAAAGAAATGATGACTGAAACTTACATATACCTGTTATACTATTTACTTATTGAATAAAGAAGCATACTACAACTGAATATACACCTTTTTAGCTTGTATACAGCCAACAAGTGTCTTTTTAATTGAAGCTTTACTATCTGTTGAACCCTATAAAAAAACAGAATATAATTTATAAGATAGCATATTGTACTGAGCATTTGAGCTTATCGACAAGCTATCTGAATTGCAGAATAATGCAAGAAAAAAGACCAATAAATTGCAACAGAAACAGAAAGAATACTTTGATGTCAAAATCTATTATAAAACTTTCAAAATTGGTGACAAAGTATAAATAATTAGAAAGGACATAAAATATTCTCAATTAGCTAAATTGAAGATAAAAGAACTGTACCCTTTATTATTCAAGAAAAATTGAATAATGATGCCTATAAACTCTGTAACAACAAAAAAAAACATTGCAAAAGTACTATAATAGTGATTATCTTGCTAACTGTTATGAAAAACAAACTTAGGAACCTTTTGTTCTTATTGAATAATTGGAATTTCTAAAAGAAAATTTTAAAACTAAAGGAAAAGACAATAATATTACACAAATTTTTTAATGTTACAATTTATTCAAAGATTGTAATATCTAAAAATTATATAAACACCCTTGAATCATACAAATTTTTCTAAAAATTGAATTCTTAAAATTATAACCAGAAACAAAAATCACTTTAAACAACTTTCTTCAAATCTGAAAACAGGACCCTACATCTCAAAATCACTTAGATATATCATCTAAAAATATTATTCTTTAGAGTGATAAAGAAACAGAAAAGTTATTAACTTAAACCCTATAATAGAAGCCCTGGTAGAATTCAATATTAATAAATTTCTACAATTAAGAAATACAACCTTCTCTAATCAAAACTCTATTTAATGATGTATCTACAGAATTAAAAAGTAATAATACTAACTATTTAACTCAAATAATAAATGATTTGAAATAGACACCAGTACCAACAACTCAAAGTATAACAAACCCCTTTTCTGAAGAAACATAGAAAGAATAAGTTAATCAAATTCTAAAGTTCTAATCTACTCCTAAACATATTTAATATAACCTTAACAAGAAAATTGAAGCTTACTATTACTTGGGACAAATAATTTCAAAGTCCAATAACCCTTCAGAGATTAAAAACCTTATCCAGAATGCTCAAGTAACAAGAAAAGCAAAAGATACTTAGAAAGGTGCTCTTAGAATATATGAAGTTCTTAAGTTGTAATCAAAAGAAATAACCTTACAATTGAAGTATATGACTGCAACATATATTAGCAAGTTGCTAGATAATGAGTACATCCAACTTCTTGAATTAATTAGAATATAGAATTTATAAAGTAAATTTTTAAAAAGAATGGAAATGTTATAGAATGAATTATTATTATTTTATTATTATTATTATTTAGTATTAGTTATTTCATTATTGTGTTATTATTATTATTACTAGTAGTTGCTAGAACTTTTTAGTCGATTAGTAATTGCTTAGTTGCTTAGTCACTTAGTTGCTTAGTTACTTAGCCACTTAGTTGCTTAATCACTTAGTAATTAGGCACTTAGTAATTATTAGTTATTTGTTGCTAGAACCTTCTGGTCACTTAGTAATCAATTAGTTGCTTAGTTGCTTAATTGCTTAGTTACTTAATGCTTAATTACTTAGTCACTTAATTACTTAGTTACTTAGCTTACAGATATATAAACTCTGCTAAATTTCCCAAGTGCAATTAAGCAACAAACACCTTTCTTCTCTTTAATATTGTAAACACATCTTAAAATTTTTTAGAAACAGAAACCTAAGGATAGCCCTTTTTGTTATTACTTTAATAAACAGCTTTTAACTATAAACTGTATTAATACTTTCCCTTTAGGGTAATTCCTACAGGCAAGGTTTATCTCCTCTTAGTAAAATAAAGTAAAGTAATTAGTATTGCATTACCTTTCCCAAACTGTCTCAGAGAAGGTATAGTTTCTTAACAATATCTAACAGAAGCTATACTTTTCTCTTGGATACTACATATACCCATAAGGAATTCTCTGTACTATGTTATTATTATAGTGTAAAATTAAGAAGGCTTTCATTTATAACAATATTAAAAAATGCAATACAAAGAAAAAATGTAGTACAAAGAAAAAAATAATATAAAGAAAAAAAATAAAAAATAATACAATTTTAAAAAACATAATATAAAGCAAAAGAAAAAAGTTACATAAAAAACTATTACTAATAATCAAGTTTAAATAATTTATTTATATTTTCTTATAACATTAACAGACTTTTTTAGAAAAATATTTAGAATCAGAATCTTAAAATAAGAACTTTTATGATTATTTATTACTAGGTTTGCTATTTAATATATTTTTTGCAAATTTATGTAATAGATTATTACTTTTAAAATCTTTCTATTCAAATATTTCAAATATTAATATTATTAGCTATAAAAACAAAATATACAATTATTTACCAAATATTATTTAATTCAATGCTTCATATATAATTTTTACTTTTTTTAGTATTACTGTCTAATTTGTTAAATAATATTAATAAATATACTATAATAAAAATAAGAATTAATATATTTGTACCCTTAAGGTACATTAAAATTTTTTATACCCGGTATTTTTGTAGCACAAAATTGGTAAGTATTACTCAATAGTAACAGGGGGAACCGTCAATGTTACACGACTGCTTCTTCACCCGGTGTGCAATATATAAAAAAATCATTTTACAATACCAGATCATTCTGCTAGTACATGTTATGATTATAATTCCACACCATTTTATTATAGTAAAAATGGTGTGGGATTATAATCATAACATGTACTAGCAGAATGATCTGGTATTGTAAAATGATTTTTTTATATGTTGCATACTGGGTGAAGAAGCAGTTGTGTAACATCAATGGTTTCTCCTGTTCTCAATAGTACGATCGTATGCGTCGGAGATTAAATTATGCATAGAAAATAAAATAAATGTGTAGTAAACAAACGATGTTATGATATTATTTTTCCCATAGTATAAATAGAAGAAAAGCAATAGGTTTCTTGATTTCTTTCTCATACCAAACCTATACAAGGGCGAAAAGTGTTAAGAAAAAAAGGTTACTTACCCACATACACTCTGATTTTAAAAGCCTCACTAGGTTCGTTATCATGTGAAGGTCATTTATAACTAGTCTTTAGGTGCATTTTATCTAAATCATATTGGTTATAATTAGAAGGAAAGCGAAATTAAAAAACAGTTTTTCTTGCAAGAGACATATAACAAATGCGAAAAGTGTTAAAATTACTCACCTACATGCACATCGGTCTTAAAAGCCTGCATTGGTTAGTGAAGGTTATTTATAATTTGGACAATGCAATATTTTAGTTTAACCTTAAACCTATTTTTTAGGTGTGTTTTCTTTAAATCATACTGGTTTATTCAAAAAACACCAAAATGGAAAGTGAAGACAAATCAGAAACTCTTGGAGAGCAGTCTTTAAGTGTTGCAGTATAGTAAGTCAGATTTTTTTTTTTTGGTTTTGGCCTTGATTTATGTAATTTCTTTAACTAATATAAAATTAAATTAAAGTGAGCAGAACTCGGTTGAAATTGTGCATCCTCCAGTGGTTGGTCAAATTTTTGGCAGTTGGGAAGAATTAGATTGTTTTGTGTCTCTCTATGCAAAGTCCCAGAATTTTGTTTGTATTACTCGTGGGTCAGAGTATGATAATGGAGTTTGCCGAAGCCACCGCTATGCCTGTGAGCATCAAGGTCATAAAGCTATGAATAAAAAGACTAATATAACTGAAAATCAACAGGAAACATGAAGTAAATGTACAGGGTGTCGGTGGCAAGTTCGTGCTAGTTGTCCTAAAACAACGGATGAATTAAGTATCAGTTCTATTTGTTTGAATCATAATGACCATCCATTAAAGAATGAAACCAATAAGTTTGCCATAAAATATCGTGTATTTACTGAAGAGATGTAAGGTAATATTAAGTTTTGGACAGAAACCGGTAACATTAATATGAGAACTCAGTATCAAATGTTGGTAAAGCGGTATTCTGATGCTTTTTTTTTATTTCAAGATCTTTCAAATGCTATTCAAACCTTCAAGCAACAAAATCATGTTAAATGTAAGGCTGCCGTTTTACTTATTATCTTCTTGAATGTAAAGCCGAAGATGTTAAATGGGTTGTAAATTGGAAGGTTGATCTTACAAACAATTCTCTTGTATCTCTGTTCTGGATGTCACCTGACTAGCATGATTTATATATTCGCTATCGAGATGTTATTCAACATGATAATACCTATTCAACAAATTGGTTTAAAATGGCTTTAGGTTTTTTCGTAATAGTAGATAACAATAATTAGTCCAGATTGGTAGGGCAAGCTCTTATGAATGACGAAACAGTTGAAAGCTATGAATGGGTTTTAAAAACTTAAGTTATGAATACAGGAGCTGCATCTTTAACAATAATAATAGATAATGATCTTGCTGTTAATGCTGTGATTGCTAGTGCTTTACCCGATTCATATCATATTCATTGTATATTTCATATTGGACAGAACTTAATTAAGAATTTAAAAGGCAAGTTAGGAGATCGGTATGATGAATTCTCAACAGATTGGTATCAAATGCGTAATTCCCTTTCATATAATCAATTTAATTATTTATGGAATAGGCTTTTGACAAAATTTCCTGATGCTGAATCATATCTTAATCATGCTCTTTATGGTGAAAAAGAACATTGGGCTCTTTGTTATATTTCCAAGGTATTTACTGCTGGAATGCAGTCGACACAGAGAGTAGAAGGTCAAAACGCAATTATAAAAACTTCAGTAAACAGTAATACATCATTAATAAATCTTGCAAAACACATTGACGAACAAATTGGTCGTGCGTCTACCTTTATTCAATACAAAATTGGGTGCATTCTATTACGGGGTCTACACTTACTCATGCCAGTTCTGAATTTTCACCTGATATTGATAAGTGGATTACTACTTATTTAATACAAGCTTCTTTATCTATGCAACATCAAGAAATTGCTCAAGCAGTATGGTATACGTCACGTCTTATTAATAATTTTCAGGATTTAGGGTTACAATTTGAATGTGACCTTGATGAACAATCTGGTTTGACTGAACAATGTGATCTACCTGAAGTTTTTAATATCTTCATTGAAGACACTGTTGATGCACCTGCTATTTTAATTCAAGAACTCATACCATCTACAGAAGTTGATTCTATTCTTGAAATTTGGGAGGTTACCTGACACAGACGCAAAGTTAAAAACTATGTCGTATTGTTTAAAATAATTCACATTTATGCACATGTCTTGGTTTAATCCAATATGGATTTGTTTGTTAACACTTTTTTCAAGTCATGACCATGTCTAACTATGCCACGTTTCATATTATGCTTATACCTAAAAGGTGGTACATTGATGAAAAGCAGGTTGAATCAGAATCATTAACTCGGCAATATCCTTTCATTATTGGATTGGGTAATAAACAAAACTCACCAACTTCAGTTAATAATGAACAATCCTTTCCTGATTTGTCATTTTGTTTACCAAAAATTTCCTTTAGCGATATTTATACTAAGGTTAATTATCACAAATCTTACGTAACAGTCAATGGATTGTCAAAAAAAGCTATACAGGTTGGATTGGACACCAGCACTAATGCTATACAAAAGCTTGAAAATTTAATGAATAGTTTCATAACAAAGCATGCACTAAAAAAAAAAGAAAAAGCAGTTTATAAAAAGAATACGAAACAGCATGAAGATGAGGACGAAGATACATCAAATAGTATTTCTAGTGATGATGATTTTATAGCAGTTGAAAATCCAATAGTTCATTCCAAAAGGGGTGCTCTGAGAAAGAAAAGATTTAAAGGATCTCACGAATTGGTCAGAAAAATAAATCTAAAGAAAATTTAAGAACACAAAAGATTAGAAAGCCAACCCAATGTCAGCAATGTCAAAATACTGGTCACAACAAGGCCGGTTGTAAAGCATGGCATAAACAACAGGGTATTCTATATTCATATTGAATAACAGTTCATAAGAACTATAGGGTATGAAATAAATGTGTAATATATAGTTCATATACATAGAAGTAATACTGATATACTACATATGTTTATTCTCAGGTAATGTTCGATACTACATATGGTTAACAAGAGTCAAAGTCTATCATTTATAAGCAACACTTCTTTGATAGTTAGAGTTAGATTGGCTGTTTTGAAGTTTCAGGGTTCGCTTGGATGGTTTATAGGAAAGATTCTTTGGTTTACTGAATTTCTATACGTACTATCTTAATTTCTGTATTACATACGTACCTATATTATCAACCATACATTGCACATTTGCTATTTGCTCAATTTAAATGAATCGGAAGATATACTTAGTTAGTGAGTACTATTTTAATGATAGATTATATGTCACTATACGTACGCAAACGGTATTACATTGCTGTAATTTAGATATTCACTCAATGCAATTAAGTATCCATCACTGCTCTTTTATTTATATGTATACGTATATCACTAATATGCGAATGCATATTTTTTTAATCAGATAAACTGCTTTCGGAAAAATTTATTAGTTGTATGACTTGACACATGCGCAATTTTAGCAAATCGATATTTGCATGTATGTACGACAGTACATATATATATGTATGTTGTAAGTATGAACGGATTTGGAATTTCCTAGTTAAATTAGGTTTAGGGTAAGGGTGTACATATGATAAAATTAGCCCTAAAAATTTCGAATCTGCTTAAAATTCCATTTCCACTTATATTGTATATTATATTAGTATGTATAATTCGTTGCATGCGCTAACGGATTTTTATTTCATGAAAATAGGGGACATCTAAAGCAGGGCAACTCATATTTTAATAATTTTCTTGATTAACTTTAGTGTTAGGGTCAGCTTATATTAGGGTTAGGTTAGGTTTTAGATAGGTATATATAAGCAAAATTGCCTTCCCGACATTTTTACCTAATCTTTCTGAGGTAGATTTAGACTGCTGTTCTTTGTATTTTTAGGTTTTTCATTTTTGTTTTTTGCTTTGCTTTGCCGGCAATCTTCAAAATTCTATAATTTGATTGGCTGAGGTCATGTGAAATTGCCTCACTTTAGACGACCCTGAAAATGGAAATTTGCAGTGTAAATATTACACAATATGCAAGTTTCGTGAACATTGCATATTTCAAAAGATTTTATATATACGTAGATTACTGTATAATATGGTATATTTAATTAAAATTTTAAATAATTATTCATATATAGTATATATAGTATATATATAAAGTATAAATATAATAGGTGTCACATGATCTGGGTATATGTACCCTAGGGTATATGTATATAACTTCTAAAAATATATATATCACATATTATCAAATGAAATAACACACTGTTACAGAACTATCAGTCAAATAATTACTAAATTAACTGCATTACTTTTCTAATTAAAAACTTTAGTTTAGTAACTCAGAATCAAATTTAAATATTTATTAGTAAATTGACTTATTATATTAAGTTAATTTACTACAATTGCATCTAAGTATTAAATAAATTAACACACCCTAATGTCAAATGATTGACATACTGTTAATTAAAAAAATATAAAGGATTAATTTGTCACTTGAGTCAATTTAAATTTTAGTCTTGTATTCAAGAACAAGGACTTTATAAACAGTTCTTATAAAAATTATATTTCTTGTTTAAAGAATAGTATAATTTTATTAATAATTTATACAAAACTTTTCTAAGATAAATAAAATTATGACTTTAATAAAAAATATTTAGCATTATCAGAAGTACTAAAATCTATATTTTTATAATTATTGTTTTAAAACTCATTAAATAATAAAGATTTTTCTTTTAAAAAATATATACAAATTTTTTTAACAAATATTTAATTGTAAATTAGCTACAAATTAATTATTGGTATTCTAAACCTATTTTATACTAATAACAAAAGTTGAAAAAAATATTTTTTATATTAGTATATTAAATTTTAGATTTTTTGAATTAATATTTATAAAGATATTAAAGTTTTTCTATTTTGTTTTATAGTCAAATTTCTGTTTTTGATAAAATCAATGTTTGATTAAGGTTATTATTTTTTATCTTATTTCTAAACCTCATACTGCACATTAATATAATTAATAAAGTTAGTCTATAAAATTTTATTCTGAAAATTTGAGACTATTTATCAAGAATTCATGAAAGTATTGTATTTTTTTATTCAAAAAACTTTAATAAATTTTATTTTTTAAAGTTTACAGAAACATTTTTATTAATTTAATTACTTTACTTAAAGAAAATTTCTTGTATAATACTAATGAAGTTGATGTAAATGTTATTTTAGAATTTTTATATTAAATTTCAAGTCAAATAAATAGATATTTACAAAATTAGATCAATTTTTGATGAAACATTTTTCTTCTTGTCTTTGCAGATTATTTATTTTAAAATTGGCATTTTACCAAAAATTATATTTTACAAAATAATTTATTAAACTAATCAATTTTGTATTATTAATAAAAAATGTAAAACAGCTTAAAAAACATATAGTTTTATAATACAAATTTATTTATTTTCTAATAAAGTTTTGTTATTTAAAATTTTTTAAATACAATTTTTTTAAAATTATAATCTAGTAAGTGTTTTTTTACACCTACTAGATTTTTATTTATATAAATTTAAAAATATTAAAAAAGTCAACAATTAATTTAGAGACTAGATTTTGTAGATTTAATTTTACTTTATATGAAAAACTTGATACTTTTTATTAACATATTAAAAATTTTTTTGAAATTAAAAAATGCTCATTTTAATTATTAAAATTTTAATTTTATATAAAATGCCAGGATAATGATAGTCAGACTCAGCATACAAGACAGACTATAGTACCTTGCATAGTTATAAGAACTGAGCATATGGTAATTAAACCTGTAAAAGACAATTTTGAAATATCATTTACAACATCTTTAATCTCCTATGATCTTTATACAAGCTTCAACAAATTTCTTTTTTATTATAATCTACTACTCCTCCTTATGGTCAAACTATTCAAACATTAATTCAACATATTGATAATTATAATAACAGCAAAAATGTATTCTGTATTACATTTTCTGTTTACTTATCTTATAATGAAACCCATATATATCTTCCTAATAACACTCTTTTACCAGACCATATTGTAATTACTTCATATCTTCTTTCTATATTCTATTATCTTCTTCTTAGATCTAATTCCTTTAATGCTACTTTTATCCCATCTGATTTATTTTTTGACAATCATTCTTCAACTTTTAATTGTACTCTTTCTCATCTTTGCCAAATCCAACTCTTCATTATCTTAATCTAACTATTGCTATATACAATATTAGAGGCTTTAATAATCCTACTAAGAGAGAAGCATAGCAGAATTATTGTCTTAATCATAATATATTTATTGCAAGCATCACAGAAACAAAAATTTCTAACAAATCTAATCTCTTTTTCTGCAATAATAATTTTTTTACTTACTATTGGTTTAACTCCTCTATAAAAGGCACTGCTATTATGATTTGCAATCATCTCAAAGCTCATATTTACAGTGTTTATACTCATGCTAGAAGTGCTATAGCACTTAATATTTTCTTTCAAAGTAATATCAAGCTTCACATTATTTCAGTATATCTGTTATCAACTGATACTTTTATTTACAACCAAACCCAAAACAAAGTAATTAACTGGATCCAACAGCTTCTCAACTTAATATTTATTCTATTATACTTGGTAACTTTAATACACAGGACAACACTCATAGCTCCTCTTCTAAATATAAACTTATTAACTTTTTTAACAATTCTAATATGTATAATATTGGAGTTCACTTTAACAACAAATACTTTACCTGGTCTAACAACATTAGCAGTAGTCATATCAACTACATTTGAACTGACCAATTCAATATACAATTTCTTTTTTCTTACAGTCTTAATAATAGTCAAACTTTTATCTCTAGTGATCATCTAATTCTCCTCCATCTGAATATTTCTACATGCTTATAACAAATCCTTATATAAACATACTGCATTAACTGTCATATTTTTAACTACAAAGCCATGTTTACAGAAAACTGAAAATCTTTTGCAGATATCTTATCACAACAACTCTTATTACACAAAACTTCTATCACAATGTAACTTATAATAGTATTAAAACCACTTGGCACAAAATCCAATACTTCATTATTTATACTACTACCCATACTATTCCTAATAAAGTTTCTCATAAATGCAACTACAATTATCAATACTCACCTCACAGTACCCTATTACACTTATCTCTTAAAAAACTTGGTCACATTATTAAACTTGTTAAAAAGCTTACTTAACATTTCAATACTTCTTGCATTAATCAAAACATCTTTCAAATTAACAAATAGTCACAATGTGACCTTCAATTACTTATTTCAACTAACTCAACCTTTATTCAAACTTGGCTTCAGCATGCTTACTCAATCTAAAAACAACTATTTCATATTACTATTTGGAAAACTCTCTCTGACTTTAACAACAAATTAACTAAGCTACTGACCAGACTATCAACAGTATTCTTAATTGTTACTATCAACCTGTCTATTTTACTAATATAAAACTTTCTCAAGAGCTTATTACTGATCTACTAATTATTAAACAATATGTTTAATATTATTTTCAAGACTGGACTGCACACAAACCTATCAATCAAACTTTCTTTAATAATTTTTGGCAATAGCACTATCTTCTTCTCCCTTACATCAATTCAACCTAGTATTATTCTTTCAATTTCCCTATTACTAATGATGAATTTCTCAGAACTTTCTTTTAACTACCTAATAACAAAGCCTGTAATCCTATAG